TCTCCATTCCAAAGGGTTATGTCGGTATTATTCAACATCTCTTGATCAATTTTCTTCGTTAAATCGTAGAAGTGACCGAATATATGACGATTCTTGGGGGAGGAGTCCAGTATTCGCATGTTTTGGTATCTCCAGGCAATTTGCATTTTCTCATCTGTAGGCATCTCGTTTGGTGCACCTGGAGACTCTTCCACGACAGCTGGCAGCTCTGATATCAGTTGCTCTGGTTTTGTGTCTTGGGATGCTACAAACAACGAGTGAGATACCACAGCTCCCTCCGCAAGAAAATATTTAAGCACGATTTTTCCATAATTTCCGTAGGTGTCTTCCTCTGAAAAATATCCGATCCAATTACGGGTTTAAATAGAAATAATAATTTCGTGTGAATTAATTAATTAATTCATTCATTCATTTGGACTTAATTTCGAAAATCAATTTTTAGATAAATCGTCAGAATTTTAAGGGAACGAATTAATTTCAATTGTTGCAATCAAATCATGAGTAAATTCATCAATGGATTATCAATTCTCAAGGATATAATTAATGGGTAATTACCTATTAGGAGAATTGAGCCGATAGGTAAGCCTCCCCCTGGAATAGAATTATTCGCATTATCCTGTTTTGTGAGTAGTTTTTAGGTGATAAGGATTATGCAAACCTATGATATTGTCGAGTGATGGAATTCCTGTTGATATAAGTAATTGGGCATTTTGAGTGGAAGGTTTGGTGCCCGGTATCGATGGAATTTTCACTTTTGCTTTCGGTAAATTCGAAGCCATTGCGTATTAATGTCAAATATTGCACGTCGCATCGGTGAAATTAAATCTGTTGTTATTATCACACTGTACTCCGTTCGTTAATTAATTATGTTAACAGTATCACAGCTACAATGGAAAATTTATGTACCTTCTGGATATGAATTTGAAATAATAAAAACAATGCATAACCTTAATTAAACAGGATTGACAAGACAGGGAGGGCGCCACACGCTATGCTGGGGTGTTTTTTTTTATTAACCAAGTTTTTATTGCAATGCTGGGGTGTCCATCAAGTCGACGGGGTGAATTTTATTTTCTGCTGTACGAATGCTTTTTGTTTTTCATTTGTTTAACTGAAATTTAGCCGATTGTAGAACGTACGGAAGGGGGAAACCACATCTTGTGGAATTTCAATGGAAAAAATTATTCAATATGTTGAAGATATACCACTAATAAAATTATATTTTCGTTATGTGTGCGTTGTCTTAATGGTAACGTGCTTGCCTTCCACGCCGACGGCCCGGGTTCGATCCCGCCGTCATTCATTTTTTTTTTTATAAATAATTCCTTTTTTATCTTTTTTAAATGGATAATCAATCAAAAGATCGTTTAAAAACTGAATTTTTGAAAATTGAGAAGATATTCAGTGAAATT